GATTCGTGAGCACCAACACAATTATTGAAAGTCATTATCGAAAATGTTTTATTCTCTCTCTCTCTCTCTCTCTCCGTTTGTGTCAATCAACTGATATAATAATATAAATTGATTAAAAAAGTCAATTTCTTGGTCTCAAAACTAAGTCATTGATATGAATGAAGAATAAAAAAACTTTTTCTATCTTTTCTTATGAAACTTATTAATTGAAAATTTTCACAAAGAGATCAACGACTCAACGACTCTGGTCTTCATAGTTGAGAAGGTTTTTACATAACTTCTTATTTCGCACATAAATACATAAATGTCATTAATATAATGTATTTTATTGAAAAATAAGACAACGTTTTTCTTTCTCACAAAATATGTTTTAATAGTCATATATTTAATGCGATTTAAAAAATGCAATCATATTATAACCGATAATACATTAATAACCGATGGGTTTATGAGACACACATCGCGTTTAGTTTGTGTGGCAATAGAAAAATATGGGATAAAAATGTAAATTTTTCAACAAAAATCGTATCAATGGATCAAATAAAATGAAGAAAAATATGTTTCTGTACTAAAGATTTGTTTTATGTCATTTGCATGACATGGTATGGGAAGTGAACTATTTTTGTTGCTTTTGTTTTGTGCAGACTTATAAAATGTTGCCCAAAATTACATACAATTAATACAAAGTTTGTGTTCATTCGTAAAGTCTTTGTCACTAGAAAATTATTTTTTATTAAAGTTAAGCCAAATATTGTGTGTTAAAAGGGGTTGAAATCCTGTCGCAGTTGTGTTTGTGATCTATTACTATAAGAGATTGGGATTCGCATCAATGGTCAGCCAATGATTGTGGTTAGGGATCGACAGGTTTACCATAAGTGTCTATTTCTCATCGCATATTCACTACATTATAAGATATTGTTTACAATTGTGTGGAAAATAACATATTGGATAGACTTTCGGATTGCTGTAAATGTTTAGTTATGTAATAGCAGTTTAAGCAAAAGGCCAGGGGGTGTGTGTTTGCGCACCTGGTTGTTGTGCTCAGACTTTCACAGAGGGGTTATTACGAGTATATTTGAGGCAAAGAAGGAGAGAGAGAGAGAGAGAGAGAGAGAGAGGTTTTTATATGACTGATCTATCTAGATTCTAGTCTATCTTTGCCGAGCATTTGGTTATATTTAAAGAGATAATTAAATTCTGTCTCTTTGTTGGAGGATGAGAGAGAGAGAGAGAGAGAGAGAGAGAGAGAGAGAAGACACGCATTAGTGGTCAACGATTGAATGCACGCTAAAAGAAAGCAATTCTTATCACTAAAAGTCTTATGAAGTATAGCAGAGATCGTCATAAATAAGTTGCTTCACTGCTAACCGAGTTTATAATCAAATCCAGTTATATATGAGTGTCTGAAAGAGACAAAAATGATAATTGTCTAAAAGGGGACGTCAGTTGGCGAGAGGCAGTGGCGGCCGTTCCCATCCATTCACACACACATCATATCCTATCGTTTGCCAGAATTGGGCACAAAATCAGTAGAGAATGAAATATTAAAGTGGAATATATTGTAGTGACTGTCGAGTATAGGAGTCAATGCATATCACTGTATATGTGCTCACAATTGCTGTGATTGTGTTTTCGTGAAAAAGATTTTTCAAAGTTATCTGAACTCTGTTTTTGATTCAATACACACAACCTATACCTCTATATTAGACACTATTTATTAAGACAATCGCAATCTTGAGATCTACTATACATTCTCTCAGACCTTGTATTCATTTTCATCAGATAGTCTACCGGTGCTGTTGACGGCCACTCAATGTGCAAAAAGTTTTTAGGTTTCATAACATATGAACATTTTATTTGTGTGTTTTGTTTTGTGGATCCGTTTTTATGAGATGTCTTAGAAGAAAGTGATTGAATGACTGAAGATAAACTAAATTTGTGTTAAAAGTATTGATATAACTTATGTATTACTGTTTTGTTGTTCAATATATAATTTCAAAAAAGGATAACTTATTAAATAATAACGATATAGTGATTGTTGGCCACAAAATATGTTGACTGAGTGTTTATAGAGATCGGTGCCAGAGTTGCCGGTATTATACAGCTATTAGTGGACATTACTGTAGAGAATTCATTAATTCAAAGGCCGGGTATTTATACAAAATATTTTACAAAAATTAAAATTTATAAGAGTTTTGAACTCATCCTTAACTCATCCTTTGATGCGTTTTCGTGTCTATTAATTACCGGCAAAAAGTACTGTATTTTTCTATCACTTCATTTGCGTGAATACAAGCGAACAATATATTTATAAATATGTAATAATTTAGAGAAAAACAAAACTCAGAGCAATATATTTAATGGAAAGTAATTCTGAATCGCTATAAAAACATTTAATTTATATTTAAATAATTTGAAATAAAAAATAATTGAAAATTCTTTAATACATTCCGTCTAATGTGTTGTGAAGAGAGTCAGAGCCGAAAAAGGGATCGCAAATGGATATTATACAAGAGGAGAGAAGTGTTGCCTTTATATTCAATAAAATATATTTATAATAATAGAAAGAAATCGTTTAGATTTAAGTGATTATAACATAAAACAAAAATGTAATTTTGAGTGAGAGAGAGAGAGAGAGAGAGAGAGAGAGGCACTGAGGGATGGATTTTTATATACAACGGAAATTTAGATAATTTTATGTTAATTATCAGTACTTTTATTTATTATACAATTAATTTTCTGATTAAATGCTAACAAAAATTAGTTGAAAGAAAAGTCTAAACAACACTAATATTAAAGAAAAAATTCAAATTCATTTCCAGAGCACACAATAAAAAAAATAGTTAAGTTTTGTTTTATGTATGACAACAATAAATCTCTAATTCTTAGGCAACAGGTGTTGAATATAAAGGCAACACTTCTCTCCTCTTGTATAATATCCATTTGCGATCCCTTTATCACTGATTTTCCCGGCATTTCCTCCAACAAAGAGACAGAATTTAATTATCTCTTTAAATATAACCAAATGCTCGGCAAAGATAGACTAGAATCTAGATAGATCAGTCATATAAAATCCTCTCTCTCTCTCTCTCTCTCTCTCTCTCTCTCACTCAAAATTACATTTTTGTTTTATGTTATAATCACTTAAATCTAAACGATTTCTTTCTATTATTATAAATATATTTTGCAATTTTTGCACAAAATAAGTCTATTGAATGCATCCGACAAAAGGAAACTTGATTTAAGATATTATTCTTATAATACAAAATATGTAATAATTATAATTGAATAGAAAACATTTATAAATACAATTAATAATAACAAATACTTATTCCCTGTGTTTGCAGACCTCTTAATACACATAAGGATCTCATCAGTGATAAGAGAAGAGCGAAAATAGCATTCAATAGTTTTGTCCGTCATTTAAGAATTCAAGTGAAATGATTAGTTTGATTGCAAACATAATTGTTTTGCTTGTATTCAATCAATGCATTCATTGTATTAATGGTTCGCCAAACAGAAGAAGATTTAATGGTTTGCATTCATTATTATTATTATTATTATTATTATTATTACTGTTTTCAGCTCTTATATAACACTAGCTTTAAAAGGACACAGAAATGAATTATAAAATTTTATTTTAGACGAAAAAAGTTATTTTTTGTTTTTCGCCGAGACTTTAGGGAAGACTAGTAATGATTATTTGATTATAGATGTGGAGAATCTGAGCGCTGAACCGGACTATAGGGCAGTTAGGCTTAAGTGGAATTACTATAATGAACACCAGGGGCTGACCGGCTTTAAAGTGAAGTAAGTATTGTTTCGTAACCAAAGACCGCAACTTAATAGCCATGAAAATTGTTGTTTATTATTAAAATTACCGCAAATTTGTTTTTTGTTTGGTTTTGTGTGAACGAAGATTTTGCGAGATTTCCGCCTGGAATTCAAGGATCCGATGCCGGGAACGACAGCTCCGGTTGTCGTCTTCGGGCCAAACGAGTCGCAAACTCTCACCACAAGAAGACAGTCTACTCTCAAACCCCGCTATCGATAGCGACGCTTCAGTTATTGATAAACTGATTCGTTTGAATAGAAACACATTCGAGGCCTCTATTTATGACTTACGAATGCTAACCAATTATACGTTCAGTGTTAAGGCAGACTTCGACGGCCAGAGCCCCGGGGGATGGGGTGCTGTCGCCCCATACCATCCCATGTATGGCAAAAATCCAGGCGAAGCCTACAGACCGCATACGGGCGGCTCAGACGGCGAAGATATTTATCGCAATGTGATCGTTGAAACAAAAAGCTGTATGTTTTCTCTCTCTCTCTCTCTCTCTCTCTCTCTTAAATATAACCAAATGCTCGGCAAAGATAGACTAGAATCTAGATAGATCAGTCATATAAAAACCTCTCTCTCTCCCCTTAAAAGAGACCAAATGTGAAGAGCATAGCGAACACCAACGCCAAAGTCAAAGCCTTCACCCTTTATAATAAGTGAGTTCATTACACCGAATCCCTAATTACCCTATTTATGGTCTGTTGGATATAATAAATCTGTTGATAAAGTCTATAAACTTTTGCCAAATCATTGCATAACACACCGAAAAGCACTAACAGAGAGAGAGGGAGAGAGAGAGAGAGAGAGAGAGAGAGAGAGAGAGAGCATTATCACGAATTATAATAACCTTTTCATTCTTTAACACATAATTTATAGAGAAATCTTTCGTAAAACAAAACATTTTAAACACTTTACTTTGAATGCAAAAATAATTAATGGGATATTTAAACATTTGTAGTCTCGGCAAAGACGAGCCGCTGTTTGGCCAACACGAGTGATGTGGTGGTCAACACTGGGCCGTATTTCAGCGGCAAGATTACTGTGGAGTACGCCAACGACCACCGGTGCTCCGTATACGGCAACCGGACCAGCAATTTGTCAATCTATACGCTAACCATTCTTCATGATGTGTGCGGAAGCAAAATCATTGTAGGCTTTGTTTTTTTCGTTACTCCACTTTTTGGTTACATTGTTCTGACATTTCTTTTCATTTCAAAAAATACAAATCAATTGAATTATTTTTTGGGCAAAAAAACAACTTTTTTGTTAGACTTTTGTTGAATACATTTTGAACCAAAATAATGAAAAGCAATAAGAAATGACATATAATTGTAACATTAGTTGTGACTTATGTATTGAAATGTGTTTCCAGAATAACTCGCGCATAGAGACGATGGTAATGGTTCACGAGAACCGAGAGATATTGACACACAATTCGCGTCGATTCCTCGTTGTGTGTAATTTCGTTCCCGAGACCTACACTCTGACCGCGTCGGTGGCCGTACCCACACATCTACTCAAACGCAAACACAAGAATTCGGACGATCCTCACCACACCTATCACCACAAGAATCACTCGTTCGAGTCAAACGTGATTCCGGTGTCCAAACCGCACATCAACACGGCGTCCGTCGCCGCCAACACCGATACCAATGACAACAATAATATTATCGATAAGACTAATGACATCTTCACGTTCGACCACTACAAGCAGTCACACAATGTGCGCGACTCGCGAATGTTGGCCCAACACCTCGACCATCACATCCTCAATAGTAATCCACACAATACTAACGCAAGTGTTGGCAAAAGTGTTTCAGGTTTTTATCAAATTATTATTCAATCATTTAATACAAAAATTATTTTTCTCTATATTTTGCGTACAATTATATAATAATAATAATAATAATTTTAAATACAAATAATTATATATAAATTAATGTGATTTTGCTTTGTTTGTGTTTTGTAGACCAATACTGGAATCAGATATTATCGACGATTCTGTTTGTAATAAGTGGACTCATATTCTGTGTGATAGCGCTTCTGTGGTTCGCGACGACACCGCGTTTAAGTGATAAGAATAGGGAAATCAAGTCATACGTGTCGATGACTACGCCGTCGACCACTGCCTCCGCCGCCGCCCTCAACACCAAACTCAACAAAAACAAAGCGATTCTTAGTGTCAACGGATCTCCCATCGCATTAGTGTCCATCGATTCGTTGGGCGAATCGTTTGCGTGAATAAAAACATATAAATCTAATATCAATGATAATTAATTGATATCTCATTCAAACTTTACAGCAAAACATGATAAAAAATCTCAATTCAATTAATTCTATCAAATGGTTTGTCACTTATTTATGAATTAAATGTCACATAATTTGCACACATTTTTTGAACACATTTTATCGATTGAAAAAATATAATAAACAATAAAAATCAAATTAAGACCGAATGTAATAATTAATGAAATATTCCGATCCCGAGAAGTAGATTACGGCGCGTGAAATGTGTCGATAATATATACGTTGATTTAGTCCTATAGGAGCCCAACAGAAACTGCTGGCTATTATTCCTATAAAAAATAACAAATAGTTGTGAGAATTGACAACAAAATGATAATTTATATTAAAAACTATATCGAGGGATCAGATGGTGACTAAAAACATTCAAAGCCATCATCTAATGTCTGTGTAGTAAAGCATACTTGATTGCAGGCGATTGGTTCACAGAGATGTCTTCGGCGTCAATCTCTTCCAATAGTGTTTGAATATCCCATAACACTATGGAGTCATCGGTACCGCCGGAGGCCAACATCGTTCCCTCCAGACCTCGACTGAAACTCAATGAGTAGATCGTGTCGTAATGTCCCGTCAGTTCTGCCACTAAATAGCCGTACATTATATCCCAAAAGAGAATCCTTTTGTCGGCGCCGGCGGACACTAAATACCGGCCACTATTCTCAAAGGCCACCACATATACGGTTGCCTTATGGCCAGTCATATACCGAACGCATTGTCCATTCAGCACATCCCACAGCCGAACAGATCGGTCCGTAGAACCAGTGGCCACATAATTAGAGTTCGGGTGAAACTGAATGCACTTCAATATGGGATTAAAATTGTTAACATTGAATCATTACATATGAGTAAATTGACGCTTACGTCCACATCGGATATGTGTCCGGCAAAGAGTCTCAAAGGGTTGTACTGATCGGTAGCCCAGAGTCGTGCAGTCCTGTCGTGCGAAGCGGACGCAAAGTAGTATCCGTGAGGACTAAACTTCACGTCCCAAATGGGAAAACAGTGGCCTTTATAGCAGCAAACGTTAGTCCACGTCAATAGACTCCACAAACGGACTGTCATTTATGAGACGAGAAATAGTTTAAATAAATGCTCAATATTTGCAATCACTTACTCGTCGAGTCTTCTGAACAGGAGAGCAGTAGATCTCTGGACGGACTAAAGCTAACGGCATAGACGGGACCGGAATGTGCGGCCAATACTTTATTATCAAACGTATTCTTGTCGTCCATCATTCGGTAGAGAACGTCATCCACTTCTTTGTCGATCAATTCCAAATCAGACACGGGTTTCATTACCTTAAGCTTATTGTTAGAGAGGGTCCAAACGCGGACCAAAGAGTCTGAGAAACCGGCGGCCAATAAAGTGGAATCTTCGGACACATCGGCGCAAAGAGCGGCCATTTCGTGGTTCTGTTGTGCGTTCAATACGGTGTAGAAGCAAATCGATGGCAACGTTTCCGGTCCCAACTTCAGCGCTTTGGTCGAGTCGTTACGCGCTCTCACCTTATCTTTCTGTTCCGCGTCTCTGAGTTCGGGTAATGGTATGCGATTCAGTGGCGGAGCGTTCGGATCAGTTCTGGCCTTCTTTGCCTGAGACGAGTCCTTCTTCTTTGACTTTTTCTTTGGCTTTTCGGCCACACCTTCGCCGCCATCGGCGCCAACCGAGTCGTCCATTTCGATGTCCGTTATATCGATCTTCAGTTCGGGCTCTTTGAAGAGTCCGTAAAACACTTTGGATTTGTTGGCGTCGCGTCGCGGTTCGCCAATCATACCGCCGGCCACCGCTTCCACTTGACCTTTGGTTCGGGTCAGGCCTTCGTACACATCGAGTATGAGATACTCGTGAATGATATTCTGGAAGATCTGAGTATTAGGTTTGGACTTCTCCTGAAGGAATCGCTTCAAATAGTTATACGAATCCCTCGACACCCGAAGTGTGTATAACTTCTGTTGAGTTCGGAATGAATCGATGATATCGTTGTTTGCGCTCAAGTGTTCCGTTTTGGTCACGACTGACAACTTATTGATGTCTTCTTCGTAGTAGAACTCCTGTTGCGGACCAAACTTCCGCATGAACTGAATGGCCCGCTCTTCGTGTCCGTTCACCACAAGCTCTAAATACATGTGAACAAAGACCGGGTACTGAAGTCGGAGCAGTTCGTGTCGGTACGAGTCCAGCGACGACTCGATGAACTTCCGGAGCGTATTGTAATTGTCTTCATAGATGTCCGGATTCTCTTCACTCTTATATGTCTTGATCATCGGCGCCAACCGAGTCGTCCATTTCGATGTCCGTTATATCGATCTTCAGTTCGGGCTCTTTGAAGAGTCCGTAAAACACTTTGGATTTGTTGGCGTCGCGTCGCGGTTCGCCAATCATACCGCCCGCCACCGCTTCCACTTGACCTTTGGTTCGGGTCAAGCCTTCGTACACATCGAGTATGAGATACTCGTGAATGATATTCTGGAAGATCTGAGTATTAGGTTTGGACTTCTCCTGAAGGAATCGCTTCAAATAGTTGTACGAATCCCTCGACACCCGAAGTGTGTATAACTTCTGTTGAGTTCGGAACGAATCGATGATATCGTTGTTTGCGCTCAAGTGTTCCGTTTTAGTCACGACTGACAACTTATTGATGTCTTCTTCGTAGTAGAACTCCTGTTGCGGACCAAACTTCCGCATGAACTGAATGGCCCGCTCTTCGTGTCCGTTCACCACAAGCTCTAAATACATGTGAACGAAGACCGGGTACTGAAGTCGGAGCAGTTCGTGTCGGTACGAGTCCAGCGACGACTCGATGAACTTCCGGAGCGTATTGTAATTGTCTTCATAGATGTCCGGATTCTCTTCACTCTTATATGTCTTGAGCACATCCGTCAGATTGGACTCATTGGTGCCGTTCTGGCCGTTGTTTGCGTCGATGTGTCGGACCTCGTCTTCGGTCAACAGCGACATCAGACGCGACTCTTTGCGGAATTGAGTCTCCGTTTGTTGCAAATTGTTTTTCTTGAGGAACTGAAGAACCGCCAGAACTGTCTGCTTATCAAACGATACGGTCGTCTGTTGAAGAGCCACACCATCGGCGGTGACGGAAGCGGTGCCACCACTTTGGCCACCGCTAGACGACTGACTGGCCATCGGGTGGTCGTGTTGTGCGGAACCGGAACTGTTGGACGAGTGAATGGTTGGCTGGATGTCAGACAAGAGGTCTTCGCCCAAATCGCTCATCATTTGAGTGGTTATTGTCTTCAAATCAAAACAATTATTTTGATTACAAAAATGCTGTCAAAAAACACACACAAAACACACTTGTCTTCACTCGAGTTGACACACAAACCGTGGATCAAATGCAAGACACTATTCACTGCACGTAATAATTATATTATTTATAACTATAAATAAAATATTATAATTAAAAGTAAATTAACTAATAATTAAATGTAAAAATATTAATAATTAAATGTATAATTGAATTGTATTTTTGAATTTAATGTTCAAAACTCTCATTCATTGCTTCCGATTCACAACAAACACAACAATAGTTTGCCATTAAATACGTCCACAAAATGAGTCCCAAATTAACACTAAATGTATTAAAAATGTTTCCCATATTTTCGGACGTAATTTGTTTTCACGTTTAAAACACATGTAATGTTTGAAAACATTGTGTTTTCAATCAATTATTAAATTTTGTGATTAAAAAGTTTGTCTCAAATGAATGTAACGTTAAATTGTAATTGAATTCAATTGAGTTCAATGTGTTTCTCATAATATAATTGTTTGCAAATAGTTTTGTGAGAAATGTTTCAATTCATGAGAAGTACTTCACTTTCATCGGTGGCCAAAACGATGGCCAAAATGAGTGGTCAGTCGACGTCTTCGGCGACGATCACGACATCGACAGTGCGGCCAAAACGACAGGTGTTTAGCCGACGACCCGTCAAAGTGTTGACCGAATCGGGAAAAGATTACTTCAAACACATGGAGGAGACGCTGAGTTCGGCCACACATGAGTACCGACCGAATCGGATAACGGATCCCAAAGAGAGAAAGACATACAATAAATACTATGACGAAGGATTCACTGAAGACTATTTGACCGCCGATGCGGAAGATATGGACGACACCCACAGACCACCGATGAGTGCCAACAAACCTAAGAGACCCTCTTTGAAGACGAAACCAAAATGTGGTGAAAAGTTTACAAATAATGAAACCAATGAAGAAGTGTTTGACAGGAAAACAGATGGTAAGAAAAGTCACGCGAAGAAGAATATGGGACACAAAGAAGAGATTTTAACGCCGAGAATACCCGGAATTCCTGTTTACCAGAAATTGTGTGACAATAACATGGAGTTTATGTGAGTATTGATTGCATTAAATTAACAAAAAACTATAACTTGTTTTCAAAGTTTGAATAATTGAATGAAATTGTGTTTTAATTGCAAAACTAATAGTAAACTGATATCTGATATGAAGATCAAGAATAGGCGTGAAAATCAAAACGTAATGCTATTGGAGGGCAAACGCTTGATAAGCGATGCCATTCGCGCCGGTCTTCCGTTGAAGACTATCTACTTTTCCAAAGAAGAGAATTTAGTTGGTATTCAAGCTTTGGATGAATTGGTATTAAAAGGCCTTCAACTGAAGAAAGTCCTCTACAGAGATATAAAATTATTTAGCGAAATGACCACAAGTCCCGGTGTTTTGGCCGTCACTGAACGGCCGAGTAATGACAGAGTGTTGGTTAACCAATCGGTTAATGGCCAACAATTGCCACTTATATTGATTGGCGACAACATTCGCGATCCGGGAAACATGGGAACAATGCTGAGATGCGCGGCCGCTGTCGGAGCCATGAGTGTTGTGCTGACCCGCGGCTGTACTGATGTCTGGTCGCCAAAGGTGTTGCGCTCGGGAGCCGGCGCTCACTTCCGAATACCGATTGTCAATGACATCGAATGGCCACTCGTTTTCAATTATATACCGATTGACAAACCATTTGATCTCTATATCGCCGAATCTAAAGCCGACGATTACAGCCATATGTCATCTCTAAGTGGAGATAAGGACAGTAAGTCCGCGGTTGACCTACCATTGCATACAATCAATACAATTACGAAAGATTATTCACAGTCGAGTGAAGTGACTGTTTTGCGGGACGACTCGTACGACACTCACAATGAAGAGCTCGTTCATTACAGGAACAGAGCGATCGCCTTCACTAACTATTGTGACACTAAGTTCTACACGTCTGGCATCGATAGGCCGGCGGTTCTAGTGATTGGCGGCGAAACTCATGGACTAAGCGATCAGTCGTACAAATTGGCCTACGATTACATCGGACGCAGAATACGGATCCCATTGTCAGCGGGTGTGGACAGTCTGAACAGTGCTGTCGCCGCCGCAGTCATTATGTATGAAATGAAACGACAGTTTCATTGCAATCAGAAATGTATTGAAAATTCATGTCTCGAACAAATAGTTTAGTTTTAATCACTTATTTAGTCTGCATTTCAATCATTTCAATGACATTGTCTGACAATCCAATGCTTATAATAATGTAATCCTATGACCAATATATTGATAAATGTATAGAAAATCATTAAATAAATGAATAGATTTGAAAATATGACTAAAAAGTTGTTAAATTGAATTGCGATCGAGAAGTGATGACATGTGGCGCCACTACTGATGCCTTCCCGGCATTTGTCGCGATTTGAATGCAATGTTTGAACAGAGAGTCTATGAAAACACTGTTCGTCTCATTCAGTGTTCAATTTATTAGTCATTGAAATACATGTGATTTTGTACTCATTTTTGGTGTCAATTGTTTTAATTGTTAATTATTTGATTGATTTAATGATCAAATGTTTATTGAATTAATGGTTTGACTCGACTATCGATAAGACAATGAGTGGTGAGAAACAGTTTGCGCTGTTGTCTAACGTCTTGAGCGACGTTGCGATACGAGATCTGTCCGTCGATATGAAGACCAAACTCGAGACCCATTTGAAGGCCAGTCAGTCGGCGGCCGAAGAGTCGCGTCGGGAGTGGACGGCGAAGAGCTCTGCGGCCGAACAGAAGATATTCTCCACCGATAGAGAGGTCCAGAACTTGAGATCCAAACTCCAAATGAGTGAAGGCTTTGCCGACGATCTCAAGAGACAGCTGAGAGAAGCCGAAGAATTGCTTCAAAAGGCCCGACACGACGGCTTTGAAGCGCTCGAAGGTATATATCATTGGTTTTGCCATAAATTGTCTTATTTTAAATATCAATATTTATGTCTTCAGGCAAGCGATCGGTTAGTTTTGAATTGAATTCAGTGAAGGAAAAAATGGACAGATTTTCGACCGAAAAGTTGAATTTGAGTGAAATGTTGAACAGAAGACAAGAAGAGATAAATCATTTGCAAAACGAGTTGAAGACAATGGCGTTAAGACTTATGGCGAACAGTGAGGGACGAGTGGAGACCTCCATCAGAGCTGAAGAACTGGAATTGAAATACATATCAGTTCAACACCAGGAGAAGCGGATGAGTCAAGAGAGGGATCTCTACCAAAAGCAGATACAGGCGCTCAACGATGAGCTCAATGTGAAGCTCAATGAACTGCTGGCCATTCGCCGCGAGAGAGCCGTTCAGACATTTGAATTGCAATCGAGTTTAGAGCAGAAGACCGACGAAAATGTTAAATATTTGGATGAAATAAAACTTTTGAAACAAATGATCGAAAAGAAAGACAAACACATTGACAGCCTTTCCGTCAGAATCGGCGAAATACAGCACATGTCGGCACAACTGGAAGAAGATTTCCACAACGAAACGTCCGCTCAAAACAATTTGATTGAATTACACAAAGGCTCGAACGAAGAGCTGAAGAAACGCAACGAAAGTCTAATCACAAACATAGAAGAGATGCAGAAAATGCTACAAACGGCTAAAGAAGCTCACAGTGAACTCGAAGACGCTTTTCTCGAAAGTCAGCGCCGATCGCAACAAGAGCTTCACGAGTCGGCTCAACAGAGCCGACAGTTGGCCGCAGAGATAGAGACCCTAAAAGAGTCGGCCACTGCTTCGCGCGAGAACATGGAGCTGGCGTTTCAACGCCAGTACCCGTTGGCCGCCAACACCAGAAAGCTTTTGGACAAAAACATGAGTTTTACGCAAATTTTTGAAGAAATGGTTTCCGCGAAACAAGAACTCGACGACGAGAAGAAGGAAAACGCTGTCCTTAAAGAGCATTTGCAACAATTGGCCGCTGAGGCCGAAGAGAACGCGCCTCTACTCTACCGGAAAATACAAGAACACCAAAGGGCGGCCCAAACCGTGAATGATCTTCAGACGCAGTTGTCGTCAGTAATGACTGAACGCGAGCAGTGGCTCAAAGAGAAGGACTCTATTATCAGAATCAATAAACAATTTGAACGCGAGATTCAACGCTACGAAAATGATAACCAGAATCTGAGTAAACAGGTCCGCACTCTCATCAAGAGTGTTCAAGAGGCCAGAGGTTTCACTGTATCTCGTGATCAGAATCAAAGCATATCCTCCACAGTGGGAGACATTCCACAAGAATTGGTTACATTCAGAGACATTGAAGAACTTCAGACTAGAAATCAGGAACTGATGAACGCTTTGCGCGAAACAAATGATAAATTACTTGAATTAGGCGAAGAGCAAAAGGACAGCGAGAGTGAAGCACTCAAACGTGATTTGGAGGCGGCGTTCACTCAATTGCAGAGTTTAAGGGCTGAACGCCTCCAACAGACAGAACTAATGGAGACACTTATCCGTCAACGAGATCTATACCACCAAATGGTTGCCTCGCATTCGGCAGACGAGCAAAACTTAAGCCAACGATCGTTCACTGGTTTGATGTCTTCGCCGAACACATCGCGAAACAACGCCACTAACGAAGACATTCAAGAGTTAAAAACTGATTTAAACCGCTCTAAACATGAATACGAAGAATACCGTAAAGAGAGTTCCAGTTGTGTGAAAGCATTGCAAGAGTCGTACGATAGGGTTCGGACGGAACTGTCGGCCGTGAAGATAGAATTGGCGAAGACATCGACGGAACTCACGTTCACTATAGAGAGGAACGATATGTTTAAGACAAACTGCGAACAGTTCCAGATGGAGAACGCGACACTCAAAGAGCGCAACACTATTTTGAACGAAAACGTGAAAAAACACGAGCAATCAGTGGTTCTCTTGAGACAGGAGACGTCGGCCGCCGCCGAAAGACTCAACCGATTAGAGTTAACGGCCGCGACGTTGAGGTCTGAACGCGATATGCATTTAAATAATGAGCAAAAGTTGATTCACGAAAACGAGTTAATGATGAAGACTGTGGAGAATCAAAACAAAATGATAAACACATTACAAACCGTTCAAAACAATATGAAACAAATCGAAAGCGATTCCATCGATCACCTGAAGAGCCAAAACGCCAAACTCGAGAACGAATGCCTGTATTTGCGGAACAAATGCGATAAAGAGTGTGAGAAGTACTCCGAAGCGAGTGCTCTCTGGGAAAAGACAGCTCAAGAGCTTCAGCACAGAATTGAAACAGAAGTCGACAAATATATGCGAATTCACGAAGAGTTGGCCGTATATCAGACAAAGACACAGAGTTTGCAGCAAACGGTGACCAAAATCGAGGGCAAAGAGGCGGAGATTGTATCTCTTCGGGAAGAGTTGAAACACTGGCAAATCCGGGCCAATAATCTGATCGAACAGCTCAACAAAATTAGTCCCGAAGGTCTCAAACGACTCAACGAAGAGAAGAAATCTCAGGGACAGGTATTCAATGAATTAATTGTTTATAAAAATATGAATTAAAACTTATTTTTTATCCAACATTTAGATTTCAAATCTGGTGAAAGAAATCAATCAATTAAAACAACAGGTCGAGAGCCATAAGAATGATAAGAAAACACTGGAAACGCAAATACAGACCATTACAAGAGAATCTGAGGCGAAGTTAGCGGAAGCGCGGAAAGTGTCGGACGAATTGACGGCCGTTCGGACAGAGAATGGGAACAATCAAAACACTATAACACAGTTGCGAAAAGTTGCCCGAAAATACAAAATGCAATTCGACGAACAGAAAGTACAGTTCGACCAATTGAAACACGACTACGAAACGGCCGTCAAGTCGGCCGTTGACCAGCAGTCGGCTCAAAACGCTGCCATTTCTGAACAACAGACCACTGAATTGTCACAAAAGATTGTTGAGTTGAACACTAAGATTAAAGAAATGGAGCAACAGATGGACAAATTGACGGTCGATTTAACTCAAGCGGCGGCCGAACGAGAGGTGGCCAGAGGACAGGCAACCGAGAAAGAGGAAAAGGCTAAGAAGATTGCCCTTCAGGCCAGACAGAGACTGACCGCCATATCAAACGAGAAGAACGGTATCGTTGGTGAACGCGATTCGCTTAGAAAGTCGACAGAAGAGTTGAAAGAGCGGATCCGACAATTGGAACAAAACAATGAGGAAAATAATTTAAGATTGGCTTCAATTAAGAGTCAATTTGATGCCAAAGTTAAACGACACGAACGGGAACTGACAGAAGCTCTCAAACTGGTCGAGACCTTAAAAGCGAGTCAACAGCAAAGTCAACAACAACTGCAACCGACGGCCGCAACCATTGCTGTGACGAGCGCTTCCGTTCAGACAACTTCACAAACGGCCGCCAATCCGGTGCGTCATTCAGTTCATCCACAGTCGGCGACTGTTCAGCCATTATCGGCAAAATCGACGCCAACAGCGAGTATACGGCCGCTGGCGGTCACACCTACTATGAGAACTGGACGTAATGTTTCGGCCCGAATGGCGGCCGTCGCCACCGTTCAGCCAACTACTGATGACCAGAGCCAACACATAGCTGTGCCACAGGCGACAGTACAGCCCACACAAGCCGTGTCCTCTCAAATGACGTTTACTATTCCGTCGACTACTAGTGTTGAGTCCGAAACGATTACTTCACATATCGAAGAAGCAATTGAAGAGCCAATGATTGAGCCAATGATTGAGCAGCCATTAGAAGGTTTAGCTCCTATTGAAGTGCCAGTAATACCGGCGCCAATTGAAACTGAAGAGTCGATCGCTGAACAACAGACTGTTTCGTGTACTGAAGAAAGCGTGGCATCAGAACCATTGGTGACTCCCGAGACTGAACAGTCATTGTCTCAAACAAGTGAAACAGTATCTGAAACTTCGGCCACAAGAATATTACGTGAAAAGATCTTACTTAAGAGGACGAGAACTGATGAGACGAGTGCTGCCATGAGTCCCAAGAAAGCCAGAACCGAGACACAAGAGGAAGCGATACCACAACCTGAAGAAGAAGTTGAGACAATCGTTGCGAGCCATGAGATGAGTGAACCCACTGTCAGTCACACGGAAGAGAAAGTTGTCACTTATGTTGCCGAAGAGGACGACGATGTGATCATTCTTGAGAGCGACGAATCTGAAGAGGAAGACAACGTCGAACAGAAGGAGGAATCAAATGATGGAGAAGACGACGCCGACGATGAAGAGGATGACGAAGAGGAAGATGAGGAAGAATACGATGAAGAAGAGGAGAATGAGGACAACGATAATGTCGGGGAGAGTGAGGTCTATCCCGACGAAGAGGAAGAAGACTATAACGAAGAGGAGGAGGAAGAGGGAGAAGATTCTCATTACGAAGAAGAGGGCAATGAAGAGCATTCAGAAGCGGGCAGTGAAGGCGAGGGTCAGGATATTGAAGTGGTCGGCGTATCGGACAATGTGCCCGAACCTAATGAACCCAACGAAACAGAAGAAGTACCACAACAGTCACTAATGAATGAAACCATAGGTTCCGAAACAATAGGTATTTAATTGTAATATCAGTGATATATTTGTCAATATTTAATGATTTATTGTTATATTCAGAGCAATCGGTTGTGTCGACGACAATGGCATCGATATCTGTGCCATCAGTGGTGACGTCGAGCACCGAAACGAATCCATTCCTTCGGCCATTTGGAGGCACTTCGGCCGCCGGTCGGCAGTCATTCTATATCCCACAGAATCAGCAGAGCTCGACCTACGATGAGGGCGACGGTATAGTGCCGTCCACTCCCACACTGTTTGTGCCCCGACGTGGCGATGGTTTCGCCGATGCGCTCAACTCTCCGCGCGTACCGCAGGGGAGGTTTGTCTTCAGCTCAAGTATTCCAGAGGCGGCGACGCTCTCGGGTTTGGCCAACGAGACTACGCTCGGCGTCGACGACACACGAATGGATTTGTCACAGTTTGATGACAACAACAACGGCCGCAGTGTTCCCAACACTCCATTGGCTAATTCGCCGGCCGTTGACACTAGTATTCATTCAACCGTTCAAAATGTCGATCTCGACACCGATGCAGACGTCAACTACGAGATCGAAGCGACGGCTTCGGAGACTATAGTTCCCGTCGACCTCGAGAGTGATTTGAGTGCTGTCGACGACTCAGAGTCGCAAAGCGCCACAAATCCTATGACGGAATCTATTATCGACACTAATGTCACGGAATCTTCGGATGTGAACGAATCCGTTCGACAGTCAGTATCTATTAGTGAATCGCAGACTTCTGCTGACTCTGAAAGAGACGACGAATCGGCGGAAAAGAGTGACGAAATTCAAGTGATGTACGAAAGCGAATCCATTCCCACCTCTTCCACATCATCCGCTCCGTCGACCAGTACTTCAACGGCTCAGAGAGGAGTTCCCACCGCTCGCAGAGGTCGTGGTTTTTCGGGTCCTCCGCGCGGCACTCTTCAGAGACGGCCTATAATGCCTCCAACACCTCCATCGACCGCTGCTGAGATACAGCCGTCATTCACGGCTCCCAATCCATCGCAACCACCGCTACAACAACAACAGCCACAACAACAACAACAACAACCGCCGCCACAAACCGGACGGACTATTAGGCTTAGAGACAGTAAATTTTCGACCACAACGCGCGGCAATTTCAGAGGTCGGCCGAGTCGTGGCGGACCCCGTGGAGGGCGAGGAGGCTATCACTACAACAACTAAATTGATTTCATTTATTGGACTAAAAGACTGATTATATGTTTTTAATTTCTATATTTTTTCATTAATAAAACACAAATTGCAAATTCAGTAATATTTGCCGAACCATTCCCTGTCATACATTGTGGTCCAACGATGGCATCCCTGCATATTATATTTGATGACTCTTTCAAAGGTAAACGGATTGATATTCTTCTCGCGAAGAGACTGTTCCTCTTTGTCCCACTCGTCCAGAATCTCTTGACTCACGGGAAAGGCATCGCACGGAAGCCGTTTGGAGATGGACTCCAAGTAATAGTAACAGTCGGCGAACTCGATCTGACCGCCGACTTCGACGATCACTTGACCCGCGCGTATGGGAGTCGTGTAGTGATGAATACTAGCCTTTCCGCCGCCCAAACGCTTGCCCTGACTCTAAGCAATGAAACGGGAAGACAAGTGCCGGCGTTAGTGACAAGAGATGAAGCATTTTGAACGTGTATTTCGGGAAACTATACCCGTTTGGACACCGGCTTCCAGGGCGCCTCTATCCGCCAAACCGCAAATGTTTTCGTCAAATTCATGTGTTTGTTGATCACCGTTCGGATCAGATTGATATGGTTTATGGTTAGCTCTACGCCCGTCAACGCCTGTAATTATCAATAATATGTTCAATCAATTGATCCATTCGTTCCGATGTTAACCAATCAAACAATGCCTACAATAATGCCGTATTGTTTGTGAAGAAGTTGATTGTTGACCAGTTCTGGGCCGCGGATGTCGTGCTGCTGTCGGGGAAACTTTCGTGGCCTCACTCCGTGCCAACTCGGCATCGGTTCCATCGCCACGAGTGGCCGCTCGGCTTCGGGCGGCAGCTCTATATCTGCGGACACAAAAACAATGGCCAAAGAGGTTAACAATAAGATAATGGGTTCACTAATCCAATCCATTCATTACGAGTCATATCTGGAGGAATGGGCCAAAACTTGCGACCTCTGACCGACTGCCAGACCAGTGGACACACGGCTGTCATATATGGCATGCATTGGAAAGAGAGTAACAGTTAATAGCAATACAAACAAAATGTTAATTCAATTACATTTTGACCGCAAATTAGACACAAATGTATTCAACATTTTGTGAAGATTTCAAAACAAATGCAAAACACATGTGAAAAGTGTAAACAAGAAATACAGATAACGTTATATAACAGGGGTTTGAAAAGTGCTTATCTAATGATGACGTGATATACGAGTGACCCATAGGTTAGCACTACCTCTACATCGATATAGTGTGACATTGAATTGAATGTGACTTTCAATCAAACCATTGATCACTTCCTCCCAGTGTTTGAGACAATCGTTTCCCTCAACTCTTGTGACACTCTTTTGTTGGCTTAACCTTTGAAGAAGTAGTTCCCGCAGAAGACAATGGCGTCCAAAGTGTGTCTAATAGTGATCGACGGCTGGGGTGTGACCAACGAGTTGGACGGCAACGCCATCGCCGCCGCAGACACTCCGGTCATGGACTCAATGGCCCGATCGGAGGGACAGTACATAACTCTGGACGCGTCGGGTCTGGCCGTGGGTTTGCCCGACGGACTGATGGGCAACAGCGAAGTCGGGCACTTGAATATAGGCGCCGGTCGTGTCATCTATCAGGACATCGTTCGCATCAATTTGGACGTCAAGTCTAAGGTCTGATCCCAACAATCAAAGACATACTTATTGTCTATAGTTTTAATTAACGGTTTATTCTTCAGGCCATCCATAAGAACGCAAACTTCGTGGACGCGTGCAGTCGAGCCAAAAGCACTTCTTCGGGTCGACTCCATCTGTTAGGTCTGGTCAGCGACGGCGGAGTTCACGCGCATATCGACCATCTGTTCGCACTTCTGGAGGGCGCGAAAGTGAATGCTGTGCCCAACACTTACATTCACTTCTTCTCCGATGGACGCGACACGAGTCCCACTTCTGGCGCCGGTTTTGTCCAACAAGTGATCGATAAGACCAAAGAATTGAGTTACGGGTCTTTGAGCACAATTATGGGCCGCTATTACGCTATGGATAGAGACAAGCGATGGGAACGCATCCAAATCGCTTACGAGGGACTCTTTGAAGGCAAGGGCACAGAAACCACTTTGGATCAAGTGGTGGATGTCGTTAAGCAGAACTACGCGGCCAACCCGACCATCACCGACGAGTTCCTCAAACCTATTATCATTAACAAAGAGGGTTTGATCCGCGAGAACGACACACTAGTGTTCATCGACTACCGCGCGGACCGAATGCGTCAAATCACCGAAACTCTTGGCGTTCAGCAGTACTTCGAACCCAAAAAGAATATCCCGAAGAATTTGGCCATTTATTCAATGACTCAATACAAGAAGGAGTTTCCCTTCAAATCTCTTTACCCGCCGGTTGTGCCGAAGAACGTGTTGGCGGAAGTGCTCGGCTCTAAGGGTTTGCCGCAATACCACTGCGCGGAGACCGAAAAGTACGCTCACGTGACCTTCTTCTTCAACGGCGGTCAGGAGAAGGAGTTTGCGGGAGAAGTGAGACAAATGGTTGGGTCACCCAAAGTGGCCACTTATGATCTGCAGCCGGAGATGAATTGCAAGGGTGTCGGCGAGGCGTTGGCCGCAGCCATCGCTTCCAAGAAGTACCCGTTCCTGATGTGCAACTTTGCGCCGCCAGATATGGTCGGCCACACCGGCAAATACGAGGCGGCGGTGAAGGCCTGCGCGGCCACAGACGTGGCCATCGGTGTAGTGAAGAAGGCGTGCGAAGACAACGGTTACGTACTATTGGTGACCGCAGATCACGGAAACGCCGAGAAGATGTACGACAATAAGAGAGGGCCGCACACCGCCCACACCACCAATCGGGTCCCATTCATAATGGCCAACACTACCCATAAGTTCGGCACTCTATCACATAACGCCGCCCTTTGCGATGTGGCGCCCACTGTACTCGACTTACTCGGCATACCTGTGCCCGAACAGGACATGACCGGCCGATCACTGATAAGCCATTAGTCAATTGTTTTTATTATTTGTTATTTTATTATATATTTAATTAGGTATTGAATTAAATTCTGATTTTAATTTAAGTCTCTAATCATAATCACATAACCGGTGCTATTATAACAATAATGTGTCAATAATTGTAGTTTTAAATTAAACGATTATACAGAAAATTCTCGTAATGTCTGACATTTGAAATGTAACCGAATTTTTAGTTAGTTTCAAGAAAATTATTTATAGATCAAAATATTAATGTATTATTCATTAAATATACATATTGTCCACTGATATGAAAATATTTCTACATTTTCATTCAAATCAATCATTGCATGTGTTTTACATGTGATTATGAGTTAAACTTTATTTTAAAATTGATTCAATTAATGATTACTATTTTATTCAATACATTATGAAATGTACTTTAAATGTGACTTAAAATAAATCTCAATAAAATTAGTGTTTAAAACTTTGAAATGAATTTTTACTAAATGAGTAAATTTTACATTATCATAATTTATAAAATTTATATTTTAGAATTAATATGCTTGATAAATGTTACCATGTTCCTTGTAATGATAGACGTGTATTGTAATATTAATAACTTGTGATAAATGACAAGTGAACCACAAAGTGGTGACAATACGTTTAGTATAGTATAGTTGTTCCACTCGTATGTCACTTATATCATTGACTTATCGTCAGATAAATTGTGGTCAACTTATTGTGTGATTACTTGCTTTATAAATGCATTATAAAAACATTAATATCGTGTAAATATCTATTTATAACTCATATAACTGTGAAATTATGTCTTATTATATGATTGAAAGATTAGTATAACAACAAAAAAGTTGTCATTTACTTCTAATTACAATATAATTTTCGTCAAAACTGTCAAAATCATAAGAATTGCTCAACAATTCCAGAAAATAATTTAAATCCATAAAAAACTTAATTAAAATTAGAGAAAAATCACATTAAAAATAACTGTATTTCAAGCGATGGCCAATCAGTTCCAACTCAACTCATGTATTGTTGTGTTTCGCCGCCTTCGGGACCATTCAATCGCACGAATCCTGACATCACTTTTGCCCACAAATTGTTTGGAATATTTGTCCAAAACTTCTGATTTACACATCAATTGATTGGGTTTTAGATCAACGAACGATTCGTTGACCAGAATTAACGGATCCCGACATTTGACTGATGACCAGTGCTCGCGGACAAGNGGGACCATTCAATCGCACGAATCCTGACATCACTTTTGCCCACAAATTGTTTGGAATATTTGTCCAAAACTTCTGATTTACACATCAATTGATTGGGTTTTAGATCAACGAACGATTCGTTGACCAGAATTAACGGATCCCGACATTTGACTGATGACCAGTGCTCGCGGACAAGGGATGGCCGGCCCTCCAGTTCCGATTTGTGCACATCAGTGACAATCCACGCGAGTAATGGCAACAAATGGCAGTCACAGAACAGATGATTATCTGTTATTTAATGAATTAATAAAAAATAATTTAAAAATAAAATTCTAATAAAAACAGAATATTCTTTAATACCTTTAAAATATAGTTTTAAACCGGATTTAATTTGTGATAAAAATTCTTCGTTTATATAAAGCAAACGATTGCCACTTAAGTCCAACTCTTGAATGGCTTTTAATTGAATCAATTCTTGTATAAAAATAGCGGTTAGTTTGTTGTCCGCGACCGACAATCGCCGCAATCTATTCAAAGAATCTCCAAACAAGCCTTTGGATAGTTTTCTCAATTGATTGCCTGAAAGGTCTAAATGTGTTAATTGAGTCAAATTTGAAATCACATTCATTTGGATCTCATTAATAATATTGTCCTTAAGTGAGAGCCACTCGACACACGTGAGTCCGTTATCAAAATAAGTGGTCAACACTGGCATCAGATTGTGTGAGAGATCTAAGTGTTTGAGTTTACAGGGAATCCACGGCGAAGAGGGGAATGACTTGTCTTTGATGAGTGATATGGAGTTATGCGAAAGATTCAAGTATTGCATCGACAATAAGGGCTCAAATATGCCGTTAGTTTTATTCTCCAACTTTTTGATCTGATTGTGCGATAAGTCCAGTGATTGCAGAGACACTAAACTAGTGAACACATCCGGCGTTAAATCAGAGATTTCGTTGAAACTCATGTTAAGTCTCAAGAGTTGCAGCAAACCATCGAAAGCCAATTCACTGATATTTTGGATCTGATTGTAGTCAAGACGGATGTCAAACAACACACCCATTCGGCCGAACGCCCGGGTATTTATCGCTCGGATCTTATTGGAGCTCAAATCGAGGAACTGAAGTGAATTCAATGACTTGAGTGATCTGATGGGCACTTCTTGCAGATGATTATGACTTAACGATAGGTTTTGAAGCGTTAAACAGTTGGCGAATGAATGGTCTTCGAGAGCCGTTAAAAATAACACTAGGTTTACTTACCGGTCGTTACGCAATTAGTATCCCTTATATAATCTAGATTGCCAGCAATACAATAAGGAGAGGTCTACATTCTGTAACTCCCGTTGTCTTTACCCTTTGTAAAATCTGATGCGATTGTCATTCGCGTAAATAGTCTTCACGGAGACCAATGAAGAGACGCCTCCGTTAGTGATCTCTGTTATGTTGTTGTGAGAGATGTCGAGCTCAAGAAGTGTTGGAGTGCTTCCTTTTTAGTGATGCGATTGTCATTCGCGTAAATAGTCTTCACGGAGACCAATGAAGAGACGCCTCCGTTAGTGATCTCTGTTATGTTGTTGTGAGAGATGTCGAGCTCAAGAAGTGTTGGAGTGCTTCCAAACGATGAGTAACCGATTTTGCGCAACAAATTGTGTCGCAAATCAATGAAACGAATGGATCCAAACTTTTCAAACACATTGCCAGAGATGTCTTCAATGCGATTGTGACTCAAGTCAATGGTTTGCATTTCGTACAAGCGTTTAGGCGTAAAGTCTTTTCGACCCAATTCTGTGATCTGATTGTGACTTAAATTCAAGAACCGAAGTCCAGACATGTTTGCAAAGATGTCTACTCTCGAGAGGTTTGCGATTAAGTTATGATTGAGATGTAGTGAAGTCACATCCGTTGAGTCAAATGCCATTCGTTGTGTTTTCTCGATCTGATTGTAAGAGAGATTCAAATCGGATATATTTGCCACTTCTTGGAAAGCTTTAAATTCAATCACTGATATATTGTTATGACTCAAATCGATGGCCACTACTTTGTATGCGACTTTCCGTGGGAAGCTATATCACGACTACGCTAATGCCGAATTTAGGTTAGATAGGTTGGTAACGTACAGAAATTTGTAGAGCAAGAGATTGTGAAGGTTGTCCAAAAGGCTGTAATCTAATGTCTTGAGACGAGTGGTGGCGGAGAATGAATTGCGGGCCACTTCTTGGATGGCATTGCCTTTGACCAGAAAGTCTTTGAGAAATCTGACACCTCTTAACATATAGGTGTCAATGACTTTAAGTCGATTGTAAGATAAGTCGAGGACACGTAACTGAGAGCTCCGGGCAAATATACTTCGGGGCAACTCTTGTAACTCATTGTACGACAAATTCAATGTTGTAATTGTTATCAAGTCATTGAAATCGGATTTTCCCAACTCTTTGAATGAGTTGTGCGACAGATCCAGAAGTTTGAGTTTCTTAAGCGAACGAAATAAGTTTCGCTCAATTTTTGCTAATTTATTACTACTTAAGTATAGATTCTCCAAAGAAGTCAAACCATTCAATGAATTGGCCTCCAGTTTAGCGATTGAATTATCACTTAAATCGAGATCTAATAAATTGGTTAATTTGTTGAATGCATTGTTCTTTACGTCAATCACATGCTTATTGCCAGAGAAGACGAGACGCGTTAAGTTTGACAACTTATTTACGGCACTTTCGGGAACTTTGTTCATAACAGTTCTCATCAGTGATAACGACTGAAGTTTTTTGTTCAGTGGAAACAATACATTGTCGTCAATAGTTGAAAGACTTGTGTTAACAAACTTTAAATTATATACATTTTGATTATCAAATATGGGACCAAATAGTCTGGATATGTTTGAGTCTGCGATCGACAGCCATTCAATTGGTGTCTTAAATAACAGGTTTGGCTCACTATAGTAGCGATATAACCGAAGTAACGTGAGTTGCCATTAAGGGAATATCAACGGTAATTCTGTTAATGTCCCTATATACTTCTTGACCAAGCGACCTGTGTTTATAAAGTCATTGCATTCAATCGATGCTATAAATAGTGCACAAAACCAGACAATATATGAAATCTTATAATAATTATTAAACACGTTATTCAAATCACAAGTCATTTTGTTTGCCATTTAGTTGAACATTGATTTAGAAAAATATAATTCACTCGTCAACCAAACGGTATAATCAAATAATTTAATATATGATTATCTCTCAAAACACATGTCTTGAGAGTTATTGCCATTATTTCCATAGACTTGGAAATGAGTTTTTTGTCGCAAACTTACAAAAAACTAATTTAAATCCAAGAAAGAAAAAATTAATTAAAATTAGAGAAAAATCACATTAAAAATAACTGTATTTCAAACGATGGCTAATCAGTTCCAACTCAACTCAATCCATGTATTGTTGGTATAGTTTGCCAAAACATGTTATGTTATGGACATAACTGTGCATTCATTTGGTTATTGTATTTCGTGGTACTCATTGTGACCCAATTCTTGGGTAATAAGAATTATAAGAAATCAAGTCTCTCTTTTGAGGCCAACTACTTCTCTCTCTCTCTCTCTCTCTCTCTCTCTCTCTCTTGTTCGTTGATCTAAAACCCAATCAATTGATGTGTAAATCAGAAGTTTTGGACAAATATTCCAAACAATTTGTGGGCAAAAGTGATGTCAGGATTCGTGCGATTGAATGGTCCCGAAGGCGGCGAAACACTTTGCGTGTCGTGTGGTTTGTGGTGAATCGCATCGAAGACATGGCATTGTTTAACGTTATCATCAGAACCGACGACAACCAGATTCTGGTCAATGAAACGCTTGATTACAACGTCAGGGAATACGCGGCCAATGGTCTCAACGATAGACAGGAATATATCGTTTGCGTCAATACAATGGACTCTTTAGGCCGACAAAGACCTCATACTTATTCCCAATGCATTCAATTCAATGGCAATAATATTAATATTGAGAATTACGCGCCGCAGATGTCTTCGCACAGACATCAACCCAAACACAGCCACAACTCATCTGCAAATACCATATCATTAACTGATTATCATTTTGTAATTTCTATTCATTTGGTCTTTTATTTATTAACTAATCGTTTGGATTATAATTATTTCTAATCATTTATAATGTATTTAAGATTAAATCAATAAATGGATCATGTTCATTTCACACTATCAAACTACCCCTGATGTAAGCGCCCACACAATACAATATTCACTAATATTTGTTTGTGAATATGTAATTGAATTGAATGTAAATTTTATTGTTTTTAATAATTGTTTTTTAATAATAATTAATAATAAGTTTTAAACTTTTATTTAAAATATAAACAAAAAATTCATTTAAATTGAGTGTGAAATTAACGTAAATTCACTATTTGTTAAACGAAATGTTGTGTAAATTAATAATTGAATTATAGTTACTAATTATTAATTAGTTTTAACAGTAATTTGAATGCCTTTTATTAGTTTCAATCATTTCAACGCAGAATACAGTGAATCTGTTTTTCGAGTTTTGCTATACTTTTAGTTGTATTCAGGAATTCATAACTAATTCTGCATTTCTATTGGACTTTCATTTGACGATAAAAATTGCGCACAAATTGTATGCATTTGTGTTCCAAAAAGTGGTCATTCATTACAACACAGAATATAGGAATTCAATTCACACTTAATTTGGTTTTAATCATACATTTAGTGTTAATTTGTGGCCAAAATGAGTGAACACTTATCTAAAGGCGATTCCAATGAAGTGAAGACATCGTTAACTCAATTGCAAAACAGGAAACGACTGTTGACTCAAAAGTTGGTCAAAATTCAAGCAAAATCTCGTAATTTGAAGCAAAAACTGGATAATCAACGGATGAAGACATCGCTTCTCAACGATTCCAACCATGAGTTGGAACAACACTTGTCTTCACTGAAGGCTGAGTCCAACGAATTGAGTGAAAAGACGGCAACTCTTGAACAACAACTCACTGGAAGTCGTGATTGTGTCCAACGATTGAGACAACAATTGGTTGAGAAACGCAATCAACAGTTGATTGTCGTGTAATTCATTCATTGTTTACTTAACCATTGGATCCATTGACCACTTTTTATTATCTCATTTGTAAATTAGGGATCAGTTTAACGGAGAGATCGACGAAATGAGTAAAGGATTCATGCGTTTGTCAATAATTAACGTAAATTTAGTTTTGATTTGTAAACTCAGTGTTAATTTTATTTGTAATCAATGGTTAGAATCGTCGAGACATTGAACACAGAAAGAAGGCAATGGATGGACAACTGAAACACTTCCGCCAGAGAAGAGATGAGTGTAGGTATTGATTATCCATTAAATGTACAAATAATTGATATTTCGATTGTTAAGTGTTGGAAGAGATAAGAAATCATCACAACAGCCGTGTATACCACGACTGGCCGATCGAACACCAACTCCTCTCACTGTTAGTCCCGTTTTGAATGGTTTTCACAATTAATTCAATTTGATTCTTATGTTTCGCACAATAGGAAAGTGTTTAAAGACGAGCACCAAATGCTTACACGAGATATGAATTATATTCAAAATTTGGGGAAATCTTGTTTTGAAAAACTTCACAAAATGCGAAAAACTTATTTGTAATTTATTTTATAATTGCATTCATTTTATTTCCATTCATAAAACCTATGAATTATTTATAATTTTTCTTGTAATCCTTAGACGTGATCGACAAGCGGTTCCCGAACTCAAAGAACACGACAAACGCGTGAATAATAGCCATAACAATGAAGAGTTCCAACCGGTGACCGACACCCCGAACGAAGAGCCGATGAATGGGACAGCAGTGGCCGCCGATGACCAGCCAATCGCTGGTATCCCAAACGCCGGTACTTTAAACCCCGGACAACGAATGTCTGTACGGATCAGTTTGGGTGACAATGTAGTGAATGTCGTGGCGAACGTCAGACAAGAGATGACATCCAGACGTCTGGAAGACGGGTCAGTAGTGACGGCCAATACCGGTAGAGTGCTTCTCTCACCCGTCTCTTTCACTGTAAGTATTGTTTTAAATGGTTTTACAATTAATTAAATTTGTTTCTTATGTTTCACACAAATAGGAAATTGATTGAAGACGAGAACCAATTGTTTCAAAAATACTCACAAAATTTCATTTCATTTATTTCTATTTTTTATT